CCAGGAGAGGGTGGGGTTTGGGGAGGGGAGGGGCCTCAGCATGGTACAGTGCCATGGAGTCCACCCTTGGAAGCAGCCCTTTTCTCCAGGGGAGCTGACTTCTGTCTCGTGGAGATCAGTTGTGAAAGTGGGAGATCCCCAGGCCCCACCTGGAGGCTGGCAACCCTAGCTTGTAGCTGGGAGGCTAGCGGATCTATTTTGGCAGAGCTTTTTCAGGCCACTAAAATGGACTCTGTCCTGGAAAGTGTTATGCCAAAATCAGCTTTTTTCTGTATCTGGCCTTCCAGGGAGCAGTCGGAGGTAGTCTAGGTCTAAATCCCAGCTGCGAGGCAGACGAATGAGGGAGGGCTGTCTCCTTCCAGGCCCGGCTTGTGGGTTTCTCAGAATCTCCTAGGTGGCCATTGCTGGGCCAGCTGGACTCCAGGACAGTCTGATCCGGTAGGACTCGTCTTGTGCTGTCATCCATCTTGTGATTTCTACCGTATGTAAATGGTACTATTACTACTTAAGCAGCGGGAAATGTACAAGCAGTTCCCCATCAGGAGTTAGAACCGAGTCTCTGAGATGCGGGCTCAATGGGCACTTCTCCTTTCTTCGCTTTTTAGGAACACCAAGAAGGAAGGGGACCTGCTGGCCGCCCAGGCCCGCCTGAAGGATTTTTTGCTGAACTCCAAGGAGGCCGCCCTCACCACCGCACTGGGGGAGAAGCGGAACCTGGAAAACGAAGTCCGCGATCTGAGGGCCCAGGTGGCCAAGGTGAGCCACGCCAGCGTGTCCGGCTAGTGTCCCTCTGTCAGGGATGAAGCCAACCAGAGTGGGTGGGGCCCGTGTCCCTCAGGTTTCGGCCTTGAGTGGCTGGAACACTTGAAATATAGGCTGAGTTAAATCAGCATGGCCAAAACAACTCAGAGGCTTGCAGTAGGGTTGCCAGGTCTGGGTTGGAAAATACCTGGAGACTTTGGGGGTGGATCCAGGAGAGGGTGGGGTTTGGGGAGGGGAGGGGCCTCAGCATGGTACAGTGCCATGGAGTCCACCCTTGGAAGCAGCCCTTTTCTCCAGGGGAGCTGACTTCTGTCACGTGGAGATCAGTTGTGAAAGTGGGAGATCCCCAGGCCCCACCTGGAGGCTGGCAACCCTAGCTCGTAGCTGGGAGGCTAGTGGATCTATTTTGGCAGAGCTTTTTCAGGCCACTAAAATGGACTCTGTCCTGGAAAGTGTTATGCCAAAATCAGCTTTTAAAAATAAAATAAATTAAAAATTGGATTTATAGCCCGCCCGCCCTTCTACAGCAGAGCTGAGGGCGGGCAACAGCAGTATTTATAAACAATATAAGATTAAGTAAAACAAAATAATCAATTAAAACAATTTTTGCAATAATATTCACAACGAATACAGATGGCACCTGAATAGGGCGTGGCCTAGCGCCCCTTATCCAGGGGAAAGAATAAAATTCCAGGGGAGAGAGTAAAATATCTTCCAGTTGATCACATGGAGGAATAACAGTACCAACGGGGCGGGGGGAGCCAATCTAAGATGGAACCATTGCTGTCTGAGCCATAAGCCTGGTGATACGTCTCTGTACTAAGTCCCACAGGGCTTGGGTCTCATACTTTTTGGGCCAAGGATCTCCAGCTTGTTAGTCTTCAAGGTGCCAGAAGAGGCCTGGTGATGTAGGAAGGAGTATGACAGCCCTGAAGATCCACTCCTTTGTGAATATAATATAAACGTGTGTGTGTATGTGTTTGGTATACATGCATGTGTACCGCTGTATCTAAACATGCCTGGAGATGTGTATCTGTATTTTAGGGCTGTCATCCGGTTAAAAGAATTTTGGTCCAGTAATCTCATGAACTGTACTCAGTTTAGGCTGCAGTCCTAGACATGCTTTTGCAAAATCAAGCGCGACGGGGGAAAGTGAGACTCCTGTTCCGAGTAAACACACATAGGATTTTGCTGCAAAATCTTTAAATGTTTGCATATTAATACCAATAATACATATTTGCCTAATGCATAATTATCGTGGCAACACAATCTTAGAAGACAGGGACTGTGGCTCAGTGGAGCAGCCTCTGCTTGGATGCCAAAGTTAAGAGGACCCGGCAGAAGGTGATGTGAAAGACCTCAGCCTGAGACGCTGGAGAGCTGCTGCCAGTCTGAGTAGCCAATACTGATCAGACCAATGGTCTGATTCAGTATAAGGCCGCTTCATGCGTGTTCAAGAGGGATTTCCCAGTGTCTGTGGTGGATTTTAAAATGATGTCTTCCTATCCACAGTTTCTGTACATTCTTGCCTTCAATCTTCCCCCCCCCCCCCGCTAGAAAGTGAGCACCTCTTCAGTGGGACAAAATTAAACAGATTTATTAATCTCTTACTTGAATTGGCTTAATGATGCAGTTTGAAGGTAGGGTTGGGTGGACGATTCCACACTGGATGCGTTTCCAATTCTGTGCTAGTGGGGTAGGGCTGTAAACGGAGTTCTGTTTCCATGTTGGGGAAAATTAAAATATGATGCAGCTCCCATTGGGGCCCATCCGTGAGAACATGAAAAAAGCTTTGCAGGATCAGACCAGGGAGGCCATGGGTTTCTAGGTATTTCCGCCAGGAGTCCCAGAAGCAGAGCATAAAAAACAAGAGCTATTCCAATGCCGTATGTTTTGTGAACTTTATCGCCTCTGAACATGCAGGTTCCTTCTTATTTAGCTGTTGGTAGACCTCACCATCATGAATTTTGCCAACACCTTGTTAAAGACCATGTAAAACCAGTCATTTGGGCTTGGTATATATATTTTTACGTGTTCAACAAAACCTGTTTCATTGTCTGAACCACCAATTTTCGGAATTTTGAAACGAGTGTGTCTGTCTGCTCTCTTTAACACTATTTAACCATCTGTCCAGACCCCCCAAACTACTTAGTCCGTAACTGCTCCGACCTGTCTTTAGGCAAAAGAGAAGACCTGGGGTATGGTTCCAGAGAGTGCCTGTCTAGTGGCTAACTCCCCCCCACACCCTCCCCCCCAAATCTTAACTTCTTCTCTTGAAATTCCTCTAGTATTTTAAGGACTCCCTACTTTCACATTGATTGAAGGTCAAAGAAGATGGGGACGGCAAAGGATGAGATGGTTAGACAGTGTCATAGATGCAACGAACATGAAATTGAGCAAACTTCAGAGGACGGCGGAAGACAGGAGGGCCTGGCTAGATCTTGTCCATGGGGTCGCGAAGAGTCGGACTCGACTGTGCGACTGAACAACAACAACTACTACTTTCGCTTTGAGTAAAAGTTCAGTAGCTACGAGAACATTGTTGTTAGGGAATCTGTCTCCTGAAGAGGCCGCACTGGCCAGCAGGGGGAAGCAGAGTCCACAGTCTGTGCATGGCAGAACCTCAGTTCCCACAATTGAATTCAAATATGCAGAGGGGGGGAAATAGTGTTTCCAGGGCCTTTTGGAGAATACATGTTTCACTAGCTCCCCCTTGTGTTAAAACAATCTCCCTGCAACTCAAAAACTTGGTAAGGTTGAGAAGGCAGTGAAGCTAGCGTTTGGTCATGCATTTCCCCGCCTGCACTCCGTGACTGTTCCTGCACACTTGAATGGATGTGTTTTGAGTGAGAAAGTGAGGAGAGGGCCTTGGAAACGGGGGGCAGAGCGATGGTGTGAGAATGAAACTCTGCAAATATGGCGGAAGGACTCTCTTCCTTCCCCTTTTAATCAGTGCTTTGTGTAGGTGCCCCGCCCCCTCTTAAGTTTCGAAGTAGAAGATGAGACAAGCTCTCCACGCCAAGGGCCACAGCTAGAGGGGCCGGATGGCTATTGTAGGACTTCTTATCCTTGCAGGCCAGATCTGTGGTGTGTTTCAGGTTGTGCTACTCCCAGGAAAGAGGGGTGGAGGATGTTTGGAGCAACCCTCCTTACAAGACAAAAATAATTTTTTAAAAAGTTTCATTTAGGGGGAATACACAACAAAGTTAAGCACGGTGTAGAGAAAGTGTGTGCAAGGAGAGTGTTTCCTTTCCTCTCCCATCACTCAAGAACTGGGGTGACCCCCATAAAACTGGTCAGTGGTGCTAGACCGAGGGCAGCCAAAGTCTGCTACCGTGAGGCACAGGAAAGACAACTGGCTCAGATGTCTTAAAAGGGGGATTTAATCAATAAACGGAAGAGGATTGCTCTGATAGCCAGGACAGCTGAATGGAACCTGCATGGTCATGAGCAGCATATCTTGGAATAGCTGTTCTGGAGTATAAACAATGGTGGCAGAGCTGTTGCCTTCGTGTCTTCCTGGTGAGGTTTCGAGAGGCATCTGGTTGGCCGCTGTACGGAACAGGATGCAGAACTGAACGACTTTCCACCTGCTCCAGTAAGGCTCCTTTTATGTCTCAAACGAAGCCGTTAAAGCCGTTAATGTTAGATCACACTATCAAAGACTCGGAGAATGATTTCAGCTAAGTGATTCAGCTTTAATGAAGTAGCGAACAAACACTCAAACACATTCAAAACCAGAATAGATTGACATTGGGAGCTAGGCTCCTTTTAAACATTCCCGGGCTAACATAGCCACACCTATTTACAATAATCAACCAATAAGGTTGCTTAGATAAGGACCAATAGGAGTTCTTCCCGCTCAGGGACTGTGTGTTATTCTGATTGGTTGCTGGTAGAGGGCGACCAATCGTACGTTAGTTCGGAGGAGCCTTCGTCGGCTCGAAGCTTAACATTGAGTGTCAATGGGGCGATTCAAGTGAGGATTCCAATACATCACAGTTAACCTGACTTTTCCCTCTGTACGGCTGGTTGTGAGGAGGAATAGCTCTGTGTCCCCCTAGAGCAATTCAACACACAAAGCCATGGTCATGGATCCTGTGATCCTGCAATCGAACATGTAGAACTGTGATGCTGGATTCTGCCCGCATAGCTATCAGGCAACCAGTTCTGTGTGAGATAACCCTTCTTCCTTATCTGTCTGTGATGCATTTTTCCTTTTCCTCTTTTCCACAGCTGGAAGCGGCTTTGGCCGAGGCCAAGAAGCAGCTGCAGGATGAGATGCTGCGGCGGGTCGATGCCGAGAACAGGCTGCAGACCCTGAAGGAGGAGCTGGAATTCCAGAAGAACATCTACAGCGAGGTGAGTTGGATACCTTGCAGAGAGGCGCAGGTGTGTCACCTGGGCTATTGTGCCCTCTCCCGCTCCCAGAATTCAACCGTCTCTGCATTCTGGTACGGCAGATCAGATTAGCTGAGAGAATCTGGTCAGTGCCTGGTTTTAGCAAGCAGCCGCTCTCCTTGAGGACCTTCATTTATTATTTCAGTTTGTATCCCGCCCTTCCTGCGAGCGGGCTCACGGTGACTCACAACATGGACTTCAGTTCCTTCTTGGCACCAGAGCAGTCAATTGGGGGGGCCGGGATTTTCAAAGGCCCAGCCATCATTTTATTCTCTTGGCTGCAATACAAAGATCCAAGGTCTGGGAAGGTGCAGCAGAATCGCTGCTGCAGTTAACGTGCATGCATTGATTGAATAGTACACAGACAGACTGTGATGTTACCATGGGAGAGTGATAGCATTTTTATAGTGTTGTGGCTGTTTATGGGCCCTGCACCTGGAAATAAAGCCGTGGATAAGAGGCAGTCAGAGGCGGTTGGCTGTTCCTTTATTTAGTCTGTTTATACCTCGACTTTCTCCCCGATGGGGGACCCAAAGCAGTTTGTTTCTCCTCTCCTGTATTTTATCCTTACTACTCTGTGAGGTAGGTTAGGCTGACAGCGGGTGACTGGCTGAAGGTCCCCCCCAGCCAAGTTCCTGGAACACTGACATAATTCTGGCTCCCTCCCTCCTCCCGCAGGAGCTCCGTGAGACCAAACGCCGCCACGAGACCCGCCTGGTGGAGATTGACAGCGGTCGCCAGCAGGAGTTTGAGAACAAGCTGGCCGACGCCTTGCAGGATATGAGGGGCCAGCAAGAAGCCCAGGTCCGACTCTACAAGGAAGAGCTGGAGAAGACTTACAGTGCCAAGGTAACGTGCCATCCCACACCTCCGAAGTCCTGAGACGGAAAGCGGGGAAGCTGCGGGAGCACGGAGGGGCCTCCGAGAAGAGGTGGGCATATGCCGCCTCCTCCTGGCTGCGCGCCTGAGAATATTACCAGAGTAAGGACCCATGAGACGTGAAAGAGTCCCTGGGAATGACCTGGCGATGGCTGCCTCCATTCTAGAGCCTAATGGGGGAGAGATCTAAAAATACCGCGAGGGCCCGATACCCTGCAGGCCTCTGCAGCACGGCAGGACGAGGCCCTCTTGTCTCCTCCCCCCTCCCCCACCGGTGCCTTTCCGGCAGTTGAAAAGGGGGCGGGGCAAGAGTGCCTCACCCCCACCCCACGGTGGGCCGGATCAGGACTGGGTCATTGCAGTGTTTTTACATGGCTCCTGTTAGACTCTAAAAGGGTGTTGTTGTCACCGGGTCATACCTGGGGACACTGTCATGTCTACTTTGGCCCTGAATCCCGCTCCTTCTGAGGGTGTCTCTGGCCTGTGTGGAAAGAAGCTGCCTGCCTCTCCTGAGGAGCACAGCAATGAATTCTGGGACAACCCCTGCGCGACTTAGCTGACCATTCTGAAATCAGTGCCCGGCCAGTCTTTTTTTTCATGAATACAGTTGTCACCAGCATTCAGGGCGCCTGTTACAGAATTCAGTAATCTGAAAAAGACGGGGGGCTGCCCCAAGAGGTTTACATGCCAACTGTTGGAAGCCAAGCACACTACTTAATGGCAGCAAATAGAAGAAGAAGAAGAGATTGGATTTATACCCCGCCCTTCACTACCCAAAGGTGTCTCAGAGCGGCTTACAAACTCCTTTCCCTTCCCCTCCCCACCACAGACACCCTGTGAGGGAGGCGGGGCTGAGAGAGCTCTGACAGAAACTGCTCTTTTTCAAGGACAGCTCTTATCAGAGCTACGGCTTGCCCAAGGTCATCCAGCCAGGTGCAAGTGGAGGAGTGGGGAATCAAACCTGGTTCTCCCAGATTAGAGTCTGCGCACTTAACCACTACACCAAAATAAAGCTTTGTATCAGCCAGAACTGATTGGGGGCGGGGGCGGTGCTGCAGCTCAGTCATTAAATGCTTGGGATGCAGAAGGCCCAGGTTCGCTCCTCAGCCTCTCCGGGGATTGGATCTCAAGGAGCAGATGTTTTTCTTGGAGAGCCTCTGTCTTGGAGAGTCAGAGTAGACAGTAGTCAGTGGTCCCACTTGGTATAAGGAAGTTCATATGATCGGGGGGGGGGATTTGAGTGTAAGGCTTTGTGGAACAAGGCGTGGCTTTTAAGGAAGAGTCTGGAGCAAAACAGAAAGATACTGTGCTGGAGTCTTGGGAGGGAGTCGGCATGAAGGTGAGTGAGAGAAGGTGTAGTGATTTAGTGGGAAACCAGGGTAAAAAGAAGAAGAGTTGGTTTTATACCCCACCCTTCACTACCCGAAGGAGTCTCAAAGTGGCTTACAAATGCCTTCCCTTCCCCTCCTCACAACAGTCGCCTTGTGAGGCAGGTGGGGCTGAGAGAGCTCTGAGAGAACGGTGACTGGCTGAAGGTCACCCAGCAGGCTTCATGTGGAGGAGGAGTGGGGGGAATCCAACCCGGTTCTCCAGGTTAGAGTCCTGCTGCTCTTAACCACGCCAACAAACTGGTGTAGAGAGACCAGGGGGTGCCCAGAGAGAGCATTCAAAGTCAGAAGAATGCTGGTGCACCTTAAGTTGGTGTGGCCAGAAGCCGGTTTGCCCCCCGTTTACACACATCCAGCCCATGTCTCAGGACTTCCCGTTCTCCTTGTTTTTTCAAAAAAGCCTCCTTCTGATTGCTCCGTCTCTGTCCCTCCTCCCTTCTGCAGCTGGAGAATGCCAAGCAGTCTGCCGAGAGGAACAGCAACATGGCGGGGGCGGCCCACGAATTTGTAAGCCGCTCTGAGACACCTTTGGGTAGTGAAGGGCGGGGTATAAATCCAATCTCTTCTTCTTCTTCTCTTCTTAAATTGGTGTGGCCCGAAGCCGGTTTGCCCCCCGTTTACACACATCCAGCCCACGTCTCAGGGCTTCCCGTTCTCCTTGTTTTTCAAAAAAGCCTCCTCCTGATTGCTCTGTCTCTGTCCCTCCTCCCTTCTGCCTCTCACTGTGACGTGACCTCCTTTCCAGCTGGAGAATGCCAAGCAGTCTGCCGAGAGGAACAGCAACATGGCGGGGGCGGCCCACGAAGAGCTGCAGCAGACCCGCATCCGCATCGACAGTCTGTCCGCCCAGCTCAGCCAGATGCAGAAGCAGGTGAGGGCGTCAGGGAGGGGGACGGGTGGGGAAAGGCAGCTGGGGCGGGCGGTGCTTCTTGAGGACAGGCCTCTCGGAAGGACTGGAACGGCACTTTGTAATCAGTGTCCGGGTGCCTTTGCCCAGAAGAGGGTTCCCTTAAAACATTGTTCAGTAAAGCTTGTGCTAGCATCGATCGCAGAGGTGAAAGAGAGAAGCACGCCCGGTGCTCCGCAGCGCACTGGAATGCTGCTCAGTTAACTCTAAGGCACTGTGGGGGGGGAAGCCCCTCCTCTTTCCCAGCTCTTGGGTTTAAACTTTCTCCACGTTCTAAGGAAATACAGTTAAGTAATGCAGCAATGGGCTGATTGGCCAGGTGGTCATGAGGCTGATGCAAAGAGCGGCACATTGCAGGTTCTAACCTCGTCCTGTGCTTTTCTGAAAGAACAAAGGCAGAGGTAGAATCCGGCTGGCTGCTGTCGAAAGCCACGTGAATTGAATGGGGATTGGTCTGATGTTCTGATGTTCTGTAGAAGCCAGTGTCTTATCTGTTGCTGTCTGTTATCTAACTCTCACTGCATTATATTTCAAGTTGGGTAATACCATTTCTTGTGCTGTTTAACATGTCATATTTAGTAGATATACCTCGTTTCAGGTTTCTGCCATCCTGGTCCTATTACATTGTCTGTTACAGATGCCCTCAGCCTGTTGATTGTGCTGACTTACCTTACGTAATCTTCTTCTGTCTCTCTTCCTTGCATGGAGACAGGGTCAGGCAAATCTCTATAGGACACCCTGTGCTCTTGCAATGGAGCAGGTGGAAGAGCTGTTCCTGCTGTATGGTGCCCCATGGGGGCGGGAGACATAAGAACATAAGAGAAGCCATGTTGGATCATTCAGTGGTCCATCCAGTCCAACACTCTGTGTCACACAGTGGCCAAAACCCAGGTGCCATCTGGAGGTCCATTAGTGGGCCCAGAACTCCAGAAGCACTCCCACTGTTGCCCCCCAAGCACCAAGAATATAGAGCATCACTTGCCCCAGACAGTGTTCCATCTATACCTTGTGGTTAATAGCCACTGACGGACCTCTGCTCCAGATGTTTATCCAGTCCCCTCTTGTGTGTAGCTGCCGCCACTTCCTATGGCAGTGAATTCCACGTGTTAACTAGTGTTCCCTCTAAGCTGAGTCCGTGTGAGCCAGCTCACAGTTTTTTAGCCTCCGGCTCACCCATTTTTGTCTTGGCTCAGGAAGGAGGGCTCCAGAGCAGACTAACTTATGCAGGAGCCAAATCGCTCACTCACAACTTGGATGCCGGTAGCTCACAAAGTAGAGTTTTTGCTCACAAGACTCCACAGCTTAGAGGGAGCATTGGTGTTAACTACTCTTTGGGTGAAGAAGTACTTCCTTTTAAGTGTCCTAAACCTACTTCTCATTAATTTCATTGAGTGCCCACGAGTTCTTGTATTGTGAGAAAGGGAAGAAAGTACTTCTCTGTCCCATGCATAATTTTGTAAACCTCTTTACCATGTCACCCCCTCAGTCATCGTTTCTCCACGCTAAAGAGCCCCAACCAGTCAACTCACTGTGACTCCTCATGGGGGTTTCAAGGCAAGAGACCAGCGAAATGATTTGCCATTGCCATACGAACCGTGGCCAACGCTGCCCAGCTTCCAAGCTCTAGCTAGTCTGGCCTATTCATGCTGCTAAGGTTGGCTGTAAATTACATAAATAAAGTGTCAGGGAAAAAGGAGGACTAGATGGTGCAAACGCAGTATTTTCCGAGTATTTTCTTGGTTGCTGCCAAAGAGGGGAAACGTTTGCTTCTCTCCTCGATAGCTGCCCTAAAGAGGCAGGATCTCTGGTCTCCCCTGGTGTTTCCGGTCAGCTTCCCGAGTCCCCGGCGCTGGACTCTCCCCCTGCTCACCTCCCCCTGCTCTGCTTCTTCCCCAGCTCTCTGCCAAGGAGGCGAAACTGCGGGACCTGGAGGATGCTCTCGCCAGAGAAAGGGAAACCAGCCGCCGCATCCTGTCCGAAAAGGAGCGGGAGATGGCCGAGATGCGGGCCCGCATGCAGCAGCAGCTGGACGAGTACCAGGAGCTGCTGGACATCAAGCTGGCCCTGGACATGGAGATCAACGCCTACCGCAAGCTCCTCGAGGGGGAGGAGGAGAGGTCAGTGCCCGGGTGGGCCGGGACCGGAGCGGTCACCCCGTCTCCCCCTCTCTCTCGGGACGGGGGGGGG